ATTGGTTTAATGTAAGCGGCTATTGTTCGGGACGAACAATACTAAGGAAGGGGCAGTGTTACGACAGCGGGAGTCACGTGATGCTAGTAACACGTCCCTTCCTGAAGCCTCGAGAGGTTACTAGATATGCGGTATTCTTGTATATATAAGACCGGTAAGAAGTAACGGCAACAATGTAATGTGACTGAACTGCAGACAGAGAGAGACTGACAATTGAGTCGAGCACGTGAGTCGTTCGTTGTGAATTATAGCGTTTGTTATAGTGTGACTGTGGAAATTAGGTATATTGCAAAGTTGTATTCAGAAAGAATAAACCAGTTTTATTTAAGAAAAGAATTGTATCACTAAAGTTTCTTCGGAAAGAAATTATACGGAAAATTAACAAACGGCCAGAGACAACAATATTTTCGGATGCATCCCGTATGTGATAGGGCTTCAACATATTAAATAATGTGACACAGCTGGATAGCATTTCGACGATCAGGTGTTTTTATAACACAGTCCTTATAGTTAACTTTCCAAACAACCTCATAGGGACCATAATACCTAGCTTTGAGTGGATGTTTCTATTGTGAGTAACAATACTAAGACCATGTCACCAGGATGGAACTTATACTCTTCGGCTTTTTGGTTATAAACATTCTTCATTTTAACTTGGGATGACTTCAAATCTTCTCGAACCTATTCACAAGCATGTAAGAGTCTGAACCGAAACTTGGAAATGTAATCCAATAAATGTATATCTTTTGTATCATCTTCCAACCATTGTTCCTTCAGCAACTTCAAAGAACCATGCACTGAATGGCCAAACACCAATTCAAATGGGCTAAACCCTAATGACTCCTGAACTGACTCACGAACACTAAATAACAGTAAATTAACTCCTTCATCCCAATCCTTCTTGTTATCGAACCAGTAAGTCCACAGTATATTTTTCAAGGCAGAATGGAATCTCTCAAGAGCACCTTGCGATTCTGAATGGTATGCACTGGATTTGATATGTTTAGCACGTCGAAATATTGGAGGAATGATTCTTGCCACATTATTCCCCGGGTTTCGTGGACAAGAACAAAACGTTGTTCTAGGAAGATGGAGCACCGTGCCACACTGCTAGAAACACCTAAAAGTAGCAGTGTTGCGTCAGCGAGGTCACATGACTAGTGTCACGCCACGTTTTTAGAAGTATCTTGTTCCTTCGTGAATGCCCTAGCATTTACTAGATATATGGTAGTCTGGTATATATAAGATGGTCACGTAGTGACGTGACAATATGTGTGTAGACAGTGAGTAATTGATCTGCAGTCAAAGAGTATTATTGAAGTTGAGCACGGTCGTTGTTATAGCGTTTGTTTTAGCGCGATTGTTGAAATTAAGTGTATCGTAAAGTTATATTCGGAAAGAATAAA